GTTTCAGGAAGTGCAAATGTGGTCAATTCTGCTTTAAAGGCAAACGGAACTGAATTCCTCCCACAGTCCTATAAGGGAGCCTCAGGTGTATGTGTGCAGCCCATCTTTGCAAATATACAGTAGTATTTGAGGATGTTCTAAACATACATCAAAATGCCCCAAATTTCTGTGTTTTAGGGTTCTGTTTGTTGCAATAATGCTGCTCTTCCAATTTCCCTCCTCCCCAAGGCTGGGTATTCCCTTTGTTTGTGTGACATTTTGTTCCATTCTTTACTCAGAGCATTTGTACCCTGCTCTTCAGCCAAGCAGATTCCCCAGAACAGATTAAAAGGTAAAGGGACCCCTGACCGTTAGGTCCAGTCGTGGCCGACTCTGGGGTTGTGGCTCTCATCTCGCTTTATTGGCCAAGGGAGCACCCAGTACAGCTTCTGGGTCATGTGGCCAGCATGACTAAGCCACTTCTGGCGAATCAGAGCAATGCACAGAAACGCCGTTTACCTTCCTGCCAGAGCGGTACCTATTTATCTACTTGCACTTTTATGTGCTTTCGAACTGCTAGGTTGGCAGGAGCAGGGACCGAGCAACGGGAGCTCACTCCATTGCGGGGATTCGAACCGCTGACCTTCTGATCGACAAGTCCTAGGCTCTGTGATTTAACCCACAGCGCCACCCGTGTCCCTTCAGATTACATGCAACTGAAACAAGACAGTCAAGAACAGAGGTCGGCAAACTCAATCAGAGGATGGGCCGGTCGACGCTCCGTCCACTGGAGAACGCGCACTCTTTCGGGTCGGAGGAGCACCCATGCGCATGCGTCCATGCTATTTTGGGCGCGTCTCTGTCCCGCACACGCTATTTCTGGTGCACATCTGGGTCGGAGGAGTGCCAGTGTGCATGCGCACAGGCACCATCAACCCAGAAGTTGGTCTCCATGCTGCGCCACACCACAGTGCGCCACAGTGTGCTGCGCTGGTAAGAGCAGGTGGGGGCGGGGGCGGGAGGGGTTGCCATGGGCCGGTTAGACAAACCTCACAGACAGCTACCAGCCCATGGGCCTTAGGTTGCCAACCCCTGGTCAAGAACGTCTACCACTTGGAAGATTGGGAAAGGTTGTGGAAGAAAGGGGTTAAGTTTACTGCATGTATGGTTCTAAAGGAAAACATTATGAAAATGATGTATGTTGTTGTTGTTTAGTCGTTTAGTCGTGTCCGACTCTTTGTGACTCCATGGACCAGAGCACACCAGGCACTTCTGTCTTCCACTGCCTCCTGCAGTTTGGTCAAACTCATGCTGGTAGCTTTGAGAACACTGTCCAACTTCTCATAAGGTGGCCAAAGTCTTGGAGCCTCAGCTTCAGGATCTGTCCTTCCAGTGAGCACTCAGGGCTGATTTCCTTCAGAATGGAGAGGTTGGATCTTCTTGCAGTCCATGGGACTCTCAACAGTCTCCTCCAGCACCATAATTCAAAATTGCCTAAAAAAGATGTTAGATTGTTTTTGTATGCCACAACTGCAGCGAGAACTTTACTTGCCCAAAATTGGAAATCACAGGAAATACCAACAGTGGTAAACTTGAAGCCCCCAGGTCCTCCAACATGGAGTTGAGATACTCACGTATTAGATGGTCCGAAAAGCTCAATGCCGAAACATCTGAAAGGCTATACTCAGACATATTCCTCATGAGAAGAGATAATCTCTTAAACTCACCATGTTCTGAATCTAGAATAATCTTGTTCCAGAATCTGATCTCACTTTTGCAACCCCACCTGACCCAAAAAAAGACATCGTGCCAACCTCTATTCCCCAACAAATCCAAACCCTGGTTTGATCAGGAATGTATTGCTACGAAGCGTTCTTTGCTGGATAAGTACAGGAATTACAAATCAGCGAACTTACCCTTGCTTCCTGTGGAATGGTTTGAAGCCAAATGTAAATATAAAGATTTGATTAAAAAGAAGAAGCTTCAGGCCCAAAGGGGGGAGTGGCAACGATTATTAGAGGCCTCTCAAAGGAAAGACTCAGTCACTTTTTGGAAAATAGTCGCGAAAAGTTGGCAAGACTCCCCAATTGAAATTGATTATACTATACCAGTTGGAATTGGGGAGGCTTACTTTCTATCTTTATATACATCAAATCAACAGCTGCAGGCCCTGCCCCCAGCTTCGAGTGATATTGGCGTCGAATGGCCCCCTGTAGCAACTGAAGAGATCTACAGGCTCACCCAATCCCTTAAACCTGGAAAAGCACCCGGCGTAGACAACATTACACCGGAACTCCTCAAGGCTAATGTTGAATGGTGGGCCCCTGTGCTAGCTGCCCTATTTACCAGCATAGACCAATCGGCCACTACCCTGAGGACTGGGGATTAGCAATCATCATCCCTTTATTCAAGAAAGGGAGCCGATCAGATCCGGCTAATTACAGGCCAATCAGCCTCCTAAGTATCATTAGCAAATTGTACGCTGCCCACCTATGCGACACATTAGTGGACTGGTTGGAACAAGACCACATTCTTTCAGAAGCACAGGCTGGTTTTAGGGCAAATCGGTCAACCTTAGACCAGGGCCTTGTTCTCCAACATCTTGTGGAGAAATATACATCAAGAAAAGGAGGTTCCCTATACGTGGCCTTTATAGATTTCAAATCTGCTTTTGATTTAATACCGAGGGACAGGCTTTGGGGAAAGCTAAGCGCCGCAAATATAAACAAACGCCTACTGTATCTCATCAACAGTCTATATGAAAATACACGGATCCGGGTAAGGTGTGACCGACAGGGCCACCTATCCAAGGAAATCCAAATCCATCAGGGGGTCAGGCAAGGGTGTGTCCTTGCGCCTACTTTATTTAACTTCTATATCAACTCGCTAGTAGGAAATATGGAGAAAGAAAATGCCCACCCCCCCAAATTGGCTGGTACGCCCCTCCCGGTCCTTTTATATGCAGATGACACAGTTTTAATTTCTTTTTCTTGTGTTGGATTAAGAAAACTTTTGAGATCTCTTACCAAATATTGCAGCATCGAGCAACTAACAATTAACTACAACAAATCCAAAGTCATGGTGTTCTCTAAAAAAAGGAGGAGGCACAAATGGAGAATAGATAATCGCTCAATAGAACAGGTAGCAACCTTTAAATACCTGGGTGTAACCTTCCAGGAAAGGGGCTCTTGGCGCTTTCAGATTAATAACACTATTGCAAATGCAGAAAGATCTACCAAAGCGTTAATAAGATTCTTCTATGGGAAAGGGGGCCAACACATACCGGCAGCCTCCCAGGTCTTTGCTGCCAAAATACTATCACAATTGTTATATGGATCCCAGATCTGCAGCTTTAAAAACCTTACTCTCTTAGAGGCATTCCAAACTAAGTTTTTCCGCTGCCTGCTGGGGATCCCCTCTTGCGTATCCAACATAGCGGTCCGTTTGGAGGTTGGGCAAATTCCTATCAGTACTCGGATATGGATATTGAAGATCCATTATTGGCTAAAGCTTATTTTCTTCCCGGTTGGGCTGGCACCTTTAACCTTATTAGATACCTACCAATCCAAATGGAAAGCTACACTGCTGGAAAAGCTTAAAGGCTTGGGGATCCCACAGCAGACCCTGATAGCGACAGGCTTCGAGAAAGCTAGGACTACAATTCGCCAGCGTATCTGGGACGTAGAATTACAATGCCACATGAGCGAAATGATCAAACATCCAGCAATAAGGGACCATGGGAGAGGTTTCTCTCCAGCTAATTATCTGTCTGGTCTTCAGGTACCCAAATACAGACGGTCTTTTACCCTCGGCAGATTCAACGTTCTCCCTTCTGCCTTACTTCAGGGCAGATTTGAGGGTAAACCATACGCAGCACGGGTCTGCCCTTGTGGCTCGTTGGAAGTTGAAACTGCTTCACATGTACTATTACGTTGTTGTCTTTATGAGGATATACGTTTGACTTTTATTACACCTGTTTTGCAAAAGTCCAGGAAAGAATCGGAACACCATAGTTTAAAACTACTGCTAGAGGACAAGAATCCCAAGACTACATTAAATGTAGCTAAATTCTGTGCGTCTGCAATCAATCGCAGGAAGCAAGTGGTATCCCATAATGACTAAACCCCTAAATGTTAATTACAGGGGGCACGCTAATAATTAATTTTAATTTTTTATATTTAAATCCTTGTTATATTCATATTGTCCTTTGTATTTCTGATATTTTTTATGATCTGTGATATTGTGTGTGTTGATGCTGGTCTGTGACCGTATTAATAAATTCATTCATTCATTCATTCATTCATTCAACAGTGGAAGATTGGCAGATGAAGATGTTGGTCTTTTTGGAGCTGGCCAACCATACTGGAAGAATCTGCGATCAGAAAGAGGAGGAACATCAAGAAGAAAGGAAGAAATTTAAGGAATATTTAGTAAAATATAAGAATATAACATTAGTGGAAATACTTGCAAGTACTACATTTGGTTTAGGATTAAATTATGTTGAATGGTGTAAGATGATGGATTGAGAATATTATGAAAAGAAAGGAAGTTAGTAATTTGAACAAGTTAATTTTATTAGAAAGTGGATATTGGAAAGTTGCTAAAATGAGATTTAATGAAAATCAGTTAGGAAGGATTTGAGGAAGTCACCCAATAATGGAATGCAATTTGGATTTTTAACTGTAAGAAGCTTTGAATGTATGTATGCTTTTTTATATGTTTGTTTGTTATTTTGTGTTGTGTTAAATTTGGAAAATAAATTTTAAAAATTGAAGGGGAAAAAAGGATGTCTACCACTGAGAGTTTCCAGGGATCTTCTGCAGGCAGATCTCCTGCTCCAGACCTCAAGCCTCTCCCCTTTGAGGTTGTCACCTGCAAGTGATTCCCTCCCTCTCTTTCTCTCTCTCCTGCATAATGATGAATTGCCTTTGGTGATCTCACAGGCCCACACCCATTCCCACACCGACCAACTCCTATGCTCATTCCTCAGCCAAGTGTGTCCCTCCCCATCCTCAGCTTCTTGAACCCTAAAATTATGGTGACCATGGCAACAAAAGGCAAACACCTCAGGGGTGTATATAACCATAGTGGCCAGCAGTCTGGGATACAGTTCCACAGATCACTGCAAAGATGAAGACTCTGCTGGTTGCCTTGCTGGTGGCGATCTTATGCGCCGGAAAAGGTAAGGCACATTTCTCACCTTTGCTTAGGAAAAGAGCTGCAGAAAAGGACGGGAGACTTGGAGACTCATAGAATCGCAAGACTGTAGGGTTGGGATGGATGCGAAGCACTATCTAGTCATCTAGCATAAGATGTAAGCATCAGAGCATTATAATCTCAGGGCTGTGGGTTTGAGTCCCACACTGGGTGGAAGCATTGCAGGGCACGATCCTAGATGACTAGATAATCCTCGTGGTCCTTCCAACTGTACAATTCTGTGATCTACAATCTAAAAGGGGGACTCTAATATAATGCTCAGACCAGTGACTAGTGTTTAATACTAAATGCCCCATTAAAAACCCCACACCTAAGTTTCTAACACCATGGAGAGGTTTTTATTGAAGATTTATGAATTTATAAGAGGAGCCCTGCTGGATCTATGATCCATTTGATCTATCATCCTGTTTCTGTTAGTTCCCAGCCAGATGTTTTCAGGAAAGAGGGCACGAAGGCAACAGCTGTTGTCCCACCTCAGCCAATGGCATCTGGAGGTTCCATTTGGCCAGGGGAATTGTAGAAATTAATTAGGCATTGGTGCAAAGAAGCTTTTTTCCCTCTTTTTCGTCTGTCTGATGGTGGAGGGTTTAGAGAGGGCAAGTCAGATGAAGGAAGGTGGAAGGGACTGTGTGAATGAAGGCTTGTGTGAGTAGCCTTTCAGAAACGTCTAAAAGGCGATGGGAGAAGAAGCGACCACATCCCACTCAAACAAAAGATATGCAATAGACTATTGGATTAAATAACAGAAAAGCAGGTTTAGGTTGTCCCTAGCCCAGCTGAATGTTGGAAGATTCTTATCCCTGCAGAAAAGTTTCCTAAGAAAGGTTGGCTCACCCAGACACGCTTCAGATACACAGGGTGTACCTGTGGCAGGAAGAAGTATCTGTCTAATGCGCCGCCATGCTCTCCCCTGCTCCTGCGCATAGAACATGTTACGTGATCTGACATTAGTGTACGGAAAGCTGTGTATATGAACAATCTGCCTAGGCGTTCCAGCCACCCTGCGGGTTTTTTGCATCAGGAAGATTGTAAGGGTGGACAATTCACATACAGGTATGGCTCTATGTCTGTGGATGTTGAACGGCACGCATTTTGCACAGTGTGCCGAAAAGTTGCGCAGGAGAATGAAATTTCTCAAGACATGCATAGCCTATATGCTGGGCCCTTTAGGAGCATGACATGCTGCACCCTTTAGGAGGAAAATGGGGGAAATTAGGCATGTGATATTTTTGGATAATATGTTTTATTAAATTTCTAATAAAAAATTATTAAAAAAATATATTTGAGGTCCCATCCTCCAAATTACAATCCAATAGGATTGTAAGACTATAGCTGGGAAGGGGTGGGGACACACAAGGGGACTAGATTGAAACCAAACAAACAGTAAACAAAGGGAGAGATTTGGCTTGAAAAACTGCCCCTCTGTGCACCAGGGGATTGACCCCTCTCCCAACACCGCAGGAGACAGACAGACAGAGTTAATCGGATAATGATGAGGGAATTGCATTTTCTGCCTTTCTCTTTGGTTGCAAGAGGAATCTGGCTCTCACCCGGTGTTTGGCTGTCCGGCACTCGCTTCCCGATGGCATGCGAGTACAGACAAAGGCACTGGGTGCATGGAACACTCTGGCTGCCGCGACCCCCTGATCCCATTCCTGGAAGCACAGGTTATCCTACCAATTGGGTTTTTAAAATTGGAGTAAACCACAGGCACGTGATAGAGATGATTAGATAAGAAACTGCGAAAACAACCCAGCTACAAGGATTTTAAAGGTTTGGCTTGAGAGGGGATTTCATTCGGTGAAAGAGACGAGGGGCACACGGTTTGCTTATATTAAAGTTCTTCTCTACATTTATGATATGGCAACCCTCCTAGGAATGCAAGTTAAAAAACCCCACATCTGTAAAAGTGAGGATGGAAGAAATTGGAATATAAATATTTAACAAAACTGGAACTGCGTGTGAGAGAGAAAGGAACTGAGAGAGAAGGGGTTGGGGAAACATTACGCTTTGAAAATATGGAGCAAAGTTTTCCCTAACATCTGTCAACCACAAAAGAATGCTTTTTAAGATAAGGATAATTGGCCATAAATCAGTGGCAGGGAAGAAAGGAGTCTACCAGCTGCAGGAATAGAAGCTACGTGAAGTCTGGATTCAGACCATTCTTTCTAGGCTGGAGAACTGGCGAAGATGGCTTGTTTACTGGGAGCCAAATCATGGGATTAAGCAATGCAGTGACTCTGGAAACTGTGAGATAACCACTTCTCCCGAGGCATGTCGGGAACTATCACCAGTTGTAGGAATGCAGGCTATAACATCATATATGGATAGGAAAATATCACAGGGTGTGGGAACTATCACATGCAGGAAAGAATAAGGATTACACTTAGAGTTCCTCACTTGAAACTTTATAAATTACCTAATATACCAACACAAATGAAACCACAAGATTGGAGCTGTTATATAAGGGATTATTATATCTGAATGGAATGTAATGGAATTATTTGGAAGGCAGAAAAAATGTAGAAGAAGCCATCAAATCTAGCACATGGAGAGGCCAGTTTGTTTAAATGTATAATTTGACATTTGAATAATTGGCATTAATAATTGTATTAACTGGATAAAATTGAGGCTGTTATATAATGAGGCTGGATATAATGAGGCTGTTATTGGAATGATATTGGAAAATCAATGAAAACATATATAGAAAACGAAAAAGAAAAACCGCCCCTCTATTTTGCCAACATGTCAGGGGCACAGGGCTGTGAAACAAACCATTGGTCATATTTGCCTTTGTGACGTCCATCACATTGTTTACAAGATGTCACCAGGAAGCCTATTCAGAATGAAGGCAAAGTTTCCTGTCCTCACTCGGATTTGACTTCCTTGGTCCATCGCAACTTCTCACAGAATCCTTCAGCTGCAGGGCGGTGTGAGATAAGGTCTAGGTGGCAGGTTGCCTCGTACATTTTAATAAAAGCCAGAAAGAATTACAAACTGAGAGCTGTAATCCTGTGGGAATTGAGGTGGGCAGAACCTTGCTCTGTGAACATGGCAATACTTGAGAATAAATATGCAATGAATTGTGCTTTGTGGGAGCGCCCTGGCCTGTTTGTCTCCTACTTTTCTGCGGTTGTTCGCTGGGTGCGTAGAGCAGCCTTTGTGCTGGGTGGGGCTGATGATAGACATAGTACAAAACATCTGGAAGGCACCAGACTGGAAAAGCCTGCTTTGTTTTATTATTATAATCATTATTGCTATTGTTGTTGTTTAGTCGTTTAGTCATGTCCGACTCTTCGTGACCCCCTGGACCAGAGCACGCCAGGCCCTCCTGTCTTCCACTGCCTCCCGCAGTTTGGTCAAACTCATGTTGGTAGCTTCGAGAACACTGTCCAACCATCTCGTCCTCTGTCGTCCCCTTCTCCTTGCACCCTCCATCTTTCCCAACATCAGGGTCTTTTCCAGGGAGTCTTCTCTTCTCATGAGGTGGCCAAAGTCTTGGAGCCTCAGCTTCACGATCTGTCCTTCCAGTGAGCACTCAGGGCTGATTTCCTTAAGAATGGATGCGTTTGATCTTCTTGCAGTCCATGGGACTCTCAAGAGTCTCCTCCAGCACCAGAATTCAAAACCATCAATTCTTCGGAGACCAGCCTTCTTTATGGTCCAGCTTTCACTTCCATTGCTATTATAATAACACATAATAATAATATTATAATAATAATCCTATAATAATAACCATTGGGAGCCTTCCGAAGCCAAATATTTCCATTTTGTATTTCAGCAGAATCTTGGCTAGGTTGCAAATTAATGGATCACTTTACCCAGCCAGATGGGTGGGGTATAAATAATAAAACTATTAAAATTATTGCTGTCATTTTTCCTGACTAAGGAAAATCCCCCAACCCTTTTTTGTCTTCTAGTCCTGCTCTTTTGCTAGGAGGTGTGTTGTGTGCTGGTCCCAGCAACAGATGTGTTGCCAGTGAAACTGCTCTGCCTTGAGGGCATCTTAGTAGGCTGTGTGCTTGCCAAATTGCTTGAGATCTTACCACCAAGAGGTTGCAACGCCCATGCCGTAATTTGCGCTTAATGAAGGCTTTGGAGATGTGCAGAGCAGAATGTCAACAAGGTCCTTATCTATGCATCTAGATGTGCTGGTCCCGGGGGGAAGGTTACCGTTGACGTAGTCGAAGTCCGGTCCTGGGTCACTGGCCTGAAAACAGTTCGCAAGGAGCGGGGCGAGGTCTGAAGCAGGAAGCCGAGCGGGGACAGGAACACTGGAGGGTCAGGTCTGGGTCCGGTCAGGAGCAGGTACTCAACGACGACGTTGCTCCCGCAACCTGGGACCAGGCTGACTGGCCTTTATCTTCTCTGAGGCCAGGGGCGGCCCCGGCCCCCAGGAGACCCGCCTCTCCTGGCCTTAAGGCGAGCACTCCTGGGAGAAACCAGTTCCCTTCGCCTCTCTGCCCTGAGCCTCTGCAGATCAGGAGAGGCTGAAGGGTTACTGGGCCCCGGGGGAGACTCACCTGTAGGCACTGAGTCCTCAAGCACCTCTGGGGCCAGAATGGTTTCACCTGGTGCCTGCTCCTGAGGATCCGGCCCAGGTGCAGGCGCCTCAGAATCAAGGCCCTGCCCCAGTTCATCCGGCCCTGGAGGCGGGGACTCCTGTGCAGGCTGGGATTCCTCCGGTTCATCCTCTGACTCGGATTCCCAGGCCATCACACTAGATTTCCACAGCTCATTGCATAGAACCCTATGATATGCACCTCTAAGGCTGCTGGCTGGAGGAATCCCAGAATCGTAGACTTGGGACCCAGTGGGTCATCTAGTCCAAACCCCTGGAATGCGGGAATACCAGCGAAAGAATCCCTGACAGGTGACCACACAACCTCTGTTGAAAAAGGAAGGAGAGTCTACCACCTTCTAGCTCAGGGGTCAGCAACCTTTTTCAGCCGTGAGCCGGTCTACCGTCTCTCAGACCATGTGGTGGGCCAGACTATATTTTTTGGGGGGGAAATAAACAAATTCCTATGCCCCACAAATAACCTGAAGGAGCATCTCCACCTCCATCGTTCTGCCTGGACACTGAGGTCCAGCCCTGATGGCCTTCTGGCGGTTCCCTCGCTGCAAGAAGCCAAGTTACAGGGAACCAGGCAGAGGGCCTTCTCGGTGGTGGCGCCCACCCTGTGGAACGCCCTCCCACCAGATGTCAAAGAGAAAAATAAAGCCACTACCGATATCAGGAGGGGGTGGGGTTGCAGGGCTCATGCCCCCAACTACAATCTCGCGGGGCTGGCGTCAGCCCCGCGGGACTCAGGGATTCCCCCTCTCTCATCAATATTCATCTCCCTCGGCGCCAGCCAATCGGCTGGCGCTAGGGGGCGGGCTTACCAGGGGCTCTTAAGGTCTTTATTAGTTCAACTGTGGGAGGGGGCGGGAATTGCCACGCAATAATATTCAAACAGTCCTCTAACCAGGAAACACCTGCCCCAATAGAACAGTCTGAATTTGGTCTCTGGAAGATCTTCATCCTCTGGTTTGGGTGAACGTCAGGATTCAGAATGTGGGAGCAACCACTTCTCCATGGGACCTTGAGAAAAACACCTGGGCATTCTATCCGATGAGGATTTCTCAGCTAATTTTGGAGGTATCCATACCTCTAAGGTGCCAATGTGGAACCTGTGGTCTTCCAGATGTTGAATGACAGCTCCTGCTATCTCTGACCTTTGACTACGCTGGCTGGGACTGATGGGAGTTGAGGCTAAACAGTATCTGGAAGAGCAAAGTGTTCCTCGCTCCCTGCTCTAAGGCGTGTTGCTTTGCCCCAAGGTGCTCAGAGCCTTGAAGGTCACAGCCAGACTGAGACAAACATTGATTTATGTTCACCTGGGAAAGAGATGCCTTTGCTTGACTTTTGCTTCTCTGTTTTCTTTCCGCACAGCCCACGCCTTTTTTTGCTACAGGTGCGAAAATGAGCCTTCCAACTGGAACTGTATGAAGGCAGTTAAGTGCGCAGAACAGGACCAGTTCTGTACCACCATTACTTCCACTTCAGGATCGGGTAGGTAGCAAACCTTTATTATATTCTCTCTGAAGCTATAGTTCCTGAGCATGAGGTGAAGCCCTGTCCCTCAAGGTCGCTAGCCAAGGGCACTGGCAGTATGACAGATCACTCTTCTTCCTAGGCTGGGTGAATCAAAAGATCACAGAATCATAGAGTTGGAATAGACCACAAGGGCCATCAAGTCCAACCCCCTGCCAAGCAGGAAACACCATCAGAGCACTCCTGACATATGGTTGTCAAGCCTCTGCTTAAAGACCTCCAAAGAAGGAGACTCCACCACACTCCTTGGCAGCAAATTCCACTGTTGAACAGCTCTTACTGTCAGGAGGTTCTTCCTAATGTTTAGGTGGAATCTTCTTTCTTGTAGTTTGGATCCATGGCTTCGTGTCCGCTTCTCTGGAGCAGCAGTGAGAAAAGGGAGAAAACAGGTTACTGACTGGGACAGAGTGACATTTGCAGCTATTGTTAAAGTTGCAAAAAACAAAGAGCAGGGGACTGAGGGAGGGAGGAATTTTTGTAACAACATTGGGATATCAGCTCCGCTCAAGGCATGACGGATAGCAGCAACAACCGAGAAGAGACAGCCACAACATTTTACAAAGACAGGAAGAAAGAATAGGGACAGAATAAATGTCACACACAGAAGAACAATGATACAGTATGAGATCTTCACTTATAAATTGCTGAATGTGTTAACACAAATAGAAGTTATATACAGTGGTACTTCAGGTTACATACGCTCCAGGTTACAGACTCCGCTAAAATATTACCTTGGGTTAAGATCTTTGCTTCAGGATGAGAACAGAAATCGTGCTCCGGCGGCACAGCGGCAGCAGGAGGCCCCATTAGCTAAAGTGGTGCTTCAGGTTAAGAACAGTTTCAGGTTAAGAACAGACTTCCAGAATGAATTAAGTTCTTAATCCCGAGGTACCACTGTATATTGCAGCTGTTGCATGAGGGAAACAGGGTCGATTGTGACTGGGAATACTGGAAACAGGAACAGTCTGCCTGGGTTCTTGCTTCTTCTGAAAATGTTTCCATAAGAAACATATGAGGTCCAGCTCCGAGAGCCTTCTGGCGGTTCCCTCCCTGCGAGAAGCCAAGTTACAGGGAACCAGGCAGAGGGCCTTCTCGGTAGTGGCGCCCGCCCTGTGGAACGCCCTCCCACCAGATGTCAAAGAGAACAACAACTACCAGACATTTAGAAGACATCTGAAGGCAGCCCTGCTCAGGGAAGCTTTTAATGTTTGACGGACTACTGTATTTTAATATTTTGTTTGGAAGCCGCCCAGAGTGGCTGGGGAAACCCAGCCAGAGGGGTGGGGTGTAAATAAATGATGATGATGATGACTGGAATGTAAGTGAAATCATTAAGATTTTGGAACGCAGAAACAAAGTAAATAATCAAACCATCAATTCTAGCATGCGGGGGGGGGCACCTAAATTATATAATTTGGCATTTGTATGATTTGTATTAGGAATTGTGTTATAATCTGGCAATGTTATAATGAGGCTATTATTGGATTATTGTAATTGGAAAACTAATAAAAGTTATAACCAAAAAGAAAGAAAGCTAGCCGTCACCTATGGCCCATCTGCAAGCTCCGAACCCAGCTCCCATTGTCGGTCCCTGCTCCTGCCAACCTAGCAGTTTGAAAGCACGCCAGCGCAAGTAGATAAATAGGTACCGCTGTGGCGGGAAGGTAAACGGGGTTTCCGTGCGCTCTGGTTTCCGTCACGGTGTCCTGTTGTGCCAGAAGCGGTTTAGTCCTGCTGGTCACATGACCCGGAAAGCTGTCTGTGGACAAACACCGGCTCCCTTGGCCTGAAAGCAAGATGAGCGCTGCAACCCCCTAGTCGTCTTTGAGTGGACTTAACCATCCAGGGGTCCTTTACCTTTTACCTAGAAAAGGTAAAGGGGACCCCTGACCATTAGGTCCAGTCGTGGCCGACTCTGGGGTTGCGTCACTCATCTCGCTTTATTGGCCGAGGGAGCCGGCATACACCTTCCGGGTCATGTGGCCAGCATGACTAAGCCGCTTCTGGCAAACCAGAGCAGTGCACGGAAACGCCGTTTACCTTCCCGCTGGAGTGGTACCTATTTATCTACTTGCACAGTAGGGACTGAGCAACGGGAGCTCACACCGTCGCGGGGATTTGAACCGCCGACCTTCTGATCGGCAAGTCCCAGGCTCTGTGGTTTAACCCACAGCGCCACCCACGTCCCTTAGCTTTTACGTACCCATGTATAATTGCCCCCTTTCATTCCTGTCCTCCAGGCAAGAACGCCGTGTACCAGCTTAGCAAGAGATGCACCCCGACTTGCACGGAGAACTTCATTGACACAGGCCTGACCAGCGTTTCGACCAAGTGTTGCAGCCATTCCTTATGCAATATCAGCGGGGCCACCAGTGTCAAAACCAGCGGCCTGCTGATGGCCGTGGGCGTCCTGGCCAGTTTCTTCTACATCTTCCAATCCCTCTTGTGAGGAGGCACTGCGGAGCAAAGGTCACAGTTCTCCTATCCAAAACTGTCAAATGTCGCTCCCCTTTCCCTTGTTCGAGATCAAGAAACCCGCCGTGGACGGCAAATACCACCCCCCAGAAGCATCGCGGAGGGGCTTGCTCACCTGGATCATTGCCCTGAATGCTAAAATTCCCGACTTCTTGCTTGGTACTGCAGAGTGTGGAGTTCTCTCCAGCTGCCCAGAAACCTCTCGCTCCTCTTTGGTGCTGCAATGCACCATCTTCTCCTCCCCAGTCCCTCGACAAAGCAGCTGATGAGTCTTTTCCTCCATCCACCCCATATCATTCCCCCCCCCCAAAGCCTCAGGTCATTCCTGGACAACACGTTTTCCGACTGGTTTGCACACAGTTTGTTTTGCACAACCTTTGCCATTCCCAGACAACCGACGTGCAAAATCAGTTTGCACAAAGTTTCTGAGGAAGTTAAATAATATCAGCTGTTTGTGGCGGAGGGGAGATCAAATGACGTTGCATCAAGCAAATGCCATCTCATACGTTCCTTTATCATTCCCCGTTGCTTCTCTTATTGCAGGGAGTCCCTGGGGGAGCGGATTGGTTGCACAAACCGATTTTTATTTTTCTGCCAGAGTTTTCTTTTATGTTAGAAGAGCAAAAGCCTGGAACAGCCCCAGGTGAGCTCAGAGCAGGTCTGCAGCACAGGCTCGAGCTGGTTCCACGATCACCTTTCCTAATTTCCCCAGGCATTCAAAGAAGTCTATTTTTTAAATAATATGTGTGTATGTATTTTGGGTAGTGGTTGCTAGAGATCTCTAATTTAAAAACAAAAACAGAGGCTGTGCCAAGCTGCGGTTTCTGGGGATTTCATTAGAACTGAGATCTTTCAATCTAAAAAAAAATCTAACAAATAAATTAAATAAAAATAAACCAGCCTCATAGTAACTGGACCAGGCCAGCCTCCATCGATTGGCTGGGCACAAGATCAGAAGCTGGGATTGGCATTTGTCTGGTGGGGAGAAGGCAGTAGCAAAGGGAGCCATCAGCTGATGGAGGTGGAAGATACAGGATGTTTTTAAAAGTCTCCCCACTTTGCACCTTCCTCCACATTTGATGTTCTGTTCTGCTCTTTCGCGCCTGTGATTTGTAAAGCTGGAGCGCATGTTAATAAAGTTTTGCCATTTAAGATCTGCAGCCTCAGTCGTCATTGATATTCTGTTTCAGTAGCCGTGACAATATTATAAACTGAAGAATAGAATATTAGAATTGGGTTATTGCTTTTGGTCTTGTTGTGAACCAAAAATCTCCAAATGAATCTGAACTTCAGTGTCTAAAATCCCTGGTAGAGGACAAGGATCCTGAGATCACGTTAAAGGTAGGCAAGTTCTGTTTGATTGCCATAAAACTTAGGGAACAAGCTGTGCTATCATAATGAGTAAGGTTTTAAATGATAATTTTAGGTTATATGTTAATGACTAAGTTTTAATTTAATTTATATATTTTTAAACTGTTGCTATATCTAATTGCAAATTCAAATGTATCCCTGTCATGTTCTATGACTACCTTGGTATTGTATGTGGGCTGGAACTGGTCTGTGATCGAAATAATAAATTCAAATATTCTGTTTCAGTAGCCATGACAATATTATAAACTGAAGAAGAGAATAATAGAATTGGGTTATTGGGTTATTGCTTTTGGTCTTGCTGTGAACCACCCTGAGACCTCTGGACGTAGGGTAGTGTATAAGTTGAATAAATAATAAATAATAAAAATAATTGCAGAGTTGGAAGGGATCCCCAAAGGTCATCTAGTCCAACCCCCTCCAATGAAGGAATCACAGCTAAAGAATCCCTGACAGATGGCTATCCAGCCTCTGTTGAAAAAAAACTCCAGTGAAGGAGAACCCACCAACTGCTGAGGAAGTCCGTTCCACTGTGGAACAGTTCTCACTGCCCAGAAACTTCTTCCTAATGTTTAGTCGAAATCTCCTTTATTGTAATTCGAATCCGTGGCTTGTGTCAGGCGGCGGAGGAAACAACCCCAAGCAGGCTGCCAGGAATGGATAAGGCAAGGAAAAGTCCTTATCACCTGCTTTTTAATCAATATTTATGGACAGAAGCCAGGAACTCAGCCTCTTGGACTAATGACGTTGTCCCAAGGGACTCTCCACCCTTTTACCCCCACTTCGTCGTTCATCATCATCTCCTCTATGGGTGGCGCTGAGGGTCCTCTGCTTCTGAGCCTTTTGCTCTCCTACTTTCAAGGCTCGCCAGTTTCTGGGAGATGGAGGGTCTGGAATGCTTTCTAAAGACACTGTGTCCATCAGTTGTTGCCCTCCCGGAGGTTCCTCTTCCTCCTCCTGTTCTCCCATTATTCCCAAATTTCCCATCTCCACTCCCGCGGGCTCGACCTGCCTGGGCTAGGAGGGCACTTGTGCCCGCCACCTCTCTGCGTGCCTGACCCAACCCAGCCTCACCCCTTTGCCACGGCGATGTTGCTGAAGGGAGGCATGAAGGAAGATGGGGAAGACCACGCCAGGATCGCGGGCTGGGAGCAGGCAGGCAGGCAGCCGTGGCTGTTGGGCTGTCTGTCTGGCATAGCTGTCAACCGTCCCTTATTTGGCAGGAAACTCCCTTATCCCAGTGCCATGCTGTCCCGGATTGATGATGTCCCTTAAATTGCCCGGGTTTCATGCTCGCCCGGCTCAGGAGGCAAGGAGCAGCTCAGGGTCCTTCGCCATGAGAGAGAGCGCGCGCACGAGCTGCCGCGTCTCCATCTCTCCCTTTCTCCCCTCAGGGGCACGTTGTGAGGAGACGGGTGGCGGCGGGCGGACAGGCAGCCCCTCTCTTGCGAGACTTTCGCTGCGCAGCCAGGGGAAGCCGGAGGCGGCTGAGGAGGTATCCTGAGGAAGAGGAGGGGATGGGGAGGGACGTAGAAGGGAGGCGCTTCAGCGGCCACCGCGGCGCCGCAACTGCCTCATGCCGGTCTCGCGGGTGAGAGTCTCTCTTCCTTCCTCCCTCTCTCTTGGGTGGGAAAGGGCCGATGGAACTCCCTGACCAGGACAACGGCAACCCTGGCGTGCATAAGCTAAGCAAAATCCCTTATTTTGGCTGCTGATCCCTTATTTTCAAGGCTTTGTTGTTGTTTAGTGGTTTAGTCGTGTCCGACTCTTCATGACCCCCTGGACCAGAGCATGCCAAGCCCTCCTGTCTTCCACTGCCTCCCGCAGTTTGGTCAAACTCATGCTGGTAGCTTTGAGAACACTGTCCAACCATCTCGTCCTCTGTCTTCCCCTTCTCCTTGTGCCCTCCATCCTTCCCAACATCAGGGTCTTTTCCAGGGAGTCTTCTCTTCTCATGAGGTGGCCAAAGTATGGGAGCCTCAACTTCACGATCTGTCCTTCCAGTGAGCACTCAGGGCTGATTTCCTTAAGAATGGATGCGTTTGATCTTCTTGCAGTCCATGGGACTCTCAAGAGTCTCCTCCAGCACCAGAATTCAAAAGGAGCAATTCTTCGGCGATCAGCCTTCTTTATGGTCCAGCTCTCACTTCCATACATCACTACTGGGAAAACCATGGCTTTAACTATACGGACCTTTGTTGGCAAGGCGATGTCTCTGCTTTTTAAGATGCTGTCTAGGTTTGCAATCGCCTTTCTCCCAAGGAGCAGGCGTCTTTGAATTTCGTGACTGCTGTCACCATCTGCAGTGATCATGGAGCCCAAAAAAGTAAAATCTCTCACTGCCTCCATTTCTTCCCCTTCTATTTGCCAGGAGGTGATGGGACCAGTGTCCATGATCTTCGTTTTTTTGATGTTGAGATTCAGACCATATTTTGCGCTCTCCTCTTTCACCCTCATTAAAAGGTTCTTTAATTCCTCCTCACTTTCTGCCATCAAGGTTGTGTCATCTGCATATCTGAGGTTGTTGATATTTCTTCCATCGATCTTAATTCCAGCTTGGGATTTATGCAGTCCAGCCTTTCGCATGATGAATTCTGCATATAAGTTAAATAACCAGGGAGACAATATACAGCCTTGCCGTACTCCTTTCCCAATTTTGAACCAATCAGTTGTTCCATATCCAGTTCTAACTGTAGCTTCTTGTCCCACATAGAGATTTCTCAGGAGACAGATGAGGTGATCAGGCACTCCCATTTCTTTAAGAACTTGCCATAGTTTGCTGTGGTCGACACAGTCAAAGGCTTTTGCATAGTCAATGAAGCAGAAGTAGATGTCTTTCTGGAACTCTCTAGCTTTCTCCATAATCCAGCACATGTTTGCAATTTGGTCTCTGGTTCCTCTGCCTCTTCTAAATCCAGCTTGCACTTCTGGGAGTTCTCGCTCCACATACTGCTTGAGCCTTCCTTGTAGAATTTTAAGCATAACCTTGCTAGCGTGTGAAATGAGTGCAATTGTGCGGTAGTTGGAGCATTCTTTGGCACTGCCCTTCTTTGGGATTGGGATGTAGACTGATCTTCTCCAATCCTCTGGCCATTGCTGAGTTTTCCAAATTTGCTGGCATATTGAGTGTAGCACCTTAACAGCATCATCTTTTAAAATTTTAAATAGTTCAGCTGGAATATCATCACTTCCACTGGCCTTGTTATTAGCTGTGCTTTCTAAGGCCCATTTGACTTCACTCTCCAGGATGTCTGGCTCAAGGTCAGCAACCACACTACCTGGGGTGTACGAGACATCCATTTCTTTCTGGTATAATTCCTCTGTGTATTCTTGCCACCTCTTCTTGATGTCTTCTGCTTCTGTTAGGTCCTTTCCACTTTTGTCTTTTATTATGGAAATCTTTGTACAAAATGTTCCTTTCATATCTCCAATTTTCTTGAACAGATCTCTGGTTCTTCCCATTCTGTTGTTTTCCTCTATTTGTTTGCATTGCTCGTTTAAGAAGGCCTTCTTGTCTCTCCTTGCTATTTTTTGGAAATCTGCATTCAATTTCCTGTATCTTTCACTATCTCCCTCGCATTTTGCTTGCCTTCTCTCCCCCGCTATTTGTAAGGCCTCGTTGGACAGCCACATTGCTTTCTTGCATTTCCTTTTCATTGGGATGATTTTAGTTGCTGCCTCCTGTATAATGTTGCGAGCCTCCATCCATAGTTCTTCAGGCACTCTGTCCACCAAATCTAAATCCTTAAACCTGTTCCTCACTTCCACTGTGTATTCATAAGGGATTTGACTTAGATTGTATTTTACCAGCCCAGTGGTTTTTCCTACTTTCTTCAGTTTAAGCTTGAATTTTGCTATAAGAAGCTGATGATCTGAGCCAAAGTCAGCTCCAGGTCTTGTTTTTGCTGACTGTATAGAGCTTCTCCACCTTTGGCTGCAGAGAATATAATCAATCTGATTTCGATGCTGCCCATCTGGTGATGTCCATGTGTAGAGTCGTCTCTTGTGTTGTTGGAAAAGAGTGTTTGTGATGACCAGCTTGTTCTCTTGGCAGAACTCTATTAGCCTTTGCCCTGCTTCGTTTTGAATTCCAAGGCCAAATTTGCCAGTTGTTCCTTTTATCTCTTGCCTCCCTACTTTAGCATTCCAATCCCTTATAATGAGAAGAACATCCTTCTTTGGTGTCACTTCTATAAGGTGTTGTAAGTCTTCATAGAATTGGTCAATTTCAGTTTCTTCAGCACCAGTGGTTGGTGCATAAACTTGGATTACCTAGCAAAAAATGGGTTTTGGTTTGCAGTTTGGGCACTCAGTCTTTAAAAGGTTTGCCACCACTGGCTTAGCAGATCAGCATATTTGTGCTTGGGTGGGGCTGGGAATAGTCTGGCCCCTGGGCCGTGGGGGAAAAAAGTTTATAGTCCTTATGTAGCCCTCATACCAGGGATGGAGAACCTATAGTCCTCCAAATATTGCTGGACGACATCCCAGCCAGTGTGGCAATGGGTACGGATGATGGGCGATGTAGACAGCAACATCTGAATGGTCGACAGCTCCTCGCCCCTATCTTTTACCAGCAAATTGCGAGCCGTCATGGAACACAGTCAAAAAATACGGTCTGGGTGGCAAGTATCTAGGATCTAGTCCCCAAATCAATTCCAGATTAGCTTGGGGTATAGGGAGCCAATCTCTCTGCAACCAAAGGTGGCCATATATCAGAAATCGATATCACAGTGTGAATGAAATATACTCGGAGTCGAGAGTGGATTTCATGCTCTTTATTCAGCTCATAGTAGTGAGGAATGGAAGTTCCCCCAGAATGTCTGCTTTATATACATTATTTACACAATGGGCCCCATGTGATTGGGTAATTCCGGGATTCTCCTGTAGGCCAATCAGGTTGCGGATTCACTTCCACCTGGAGTTGGATTGGGTGGCTCCTGTGGACCAATCAGACTGCTGCATTCTGAATCCCATTGTTCTAGGACCAATCAGACTGCTGCCTTTTGGATCCTATTCAACTCAGTACATAACAGAATGTCTGCCTGTGCTACACTATTCTCAATGGGAGTTGCATTCCCACCCCCAAGTAGAAAATCTGGAGGAAAGTGCCAGTACTTTTGAAAGGGAAACACCCCCCCCCCAAAAAAAAAAATTGTTCGGAAATCAGAGACTTGTGGACTTTCCATGACTGCGGAGAAACAGACTGTTTTTATGTATCAATAGATCCAGTTTCACAAGGATCTGTGTGCTCGAATGAGAACCAGAGGGTCCCTCCTCCAACATCATTATTTCTGAGAATTATGGAATAAACATGAAAATAAATTTAATGCCTCCTACAAGTAGCGAAGCGTCTCCTCCAGACGGGTTTTTCAGTTGGTATATTTTCTGTAACATCTCATTGACCCACGAACTACTGCATTAGTGGTGGGCCATTTGCACATCATTGTGTTTTATTGTTTTTATTTTTTATTGTTTATTTTGTTTTATTGTTTTTTTCTGCAGTGCTTCCCCCAGTGTTGTTTCACGATTGCCACCTGCCAGGGCACTTTTGCACGGGAGAACAACAAAAGCGGCACAAGCTTTGCAGTGTGGAAAGTTACAGGATGTCAGCAGAAAGTTACGGGGCAAGTGCAGATTGGAAATGAAGTGGCACGTCCACCCCAAAATTGTTGCAAGTGCACTCAGTATTTAAGGACAGATCTTGTTGATATAGAAAAAAATAGGGGTGGTTGGCTTTTGCTGCCCAACTCCCCAAGGGACTGTGTTACAGAAATCACGGCGGGGGGGGGGGGGGACCTCTTTAAAGTTGTTAAATGTTACAAATATGAATGTATCCTTTCGACTTGACAGCTCAGGGAAGTTACCTAGCTTTAAAAATAATACAAAATCAACTCCTTTGCCAGTTTCCTCCATTCCAAAGCTATTTTTCCCCTTGAAAAAGGACTCCAGGAAGTTCCCAGAGGTGACAATCGCTGAGCTGATTGTTGGCCAAGGAAAGCCTAATGCCATCACCAGACTTGCCAAGGGATCCAGACATGCAAAGGAAGTTCTATTGTGCTTTGGGTGGTGGGACTTCAGAGGTGTTTGCATATGCTCATCTTATACCTGGGTCTTGCCCTGACATGTCTGCTTATGCTAATCTTGTACCAAGGACTTGTCTGGACATGATTGCCAAGGTTAAACTAGTGTAACCCCTGTCTACCCCTCCCCTTTTGTGACATGTCAGTGATGTAGCAATGATGCTGTACGAACTGTATTCTGGGATATGGTGGGAAAGTTATAAAAGCCCTTGTCACCCCATTCTTGGGGTTCAAAATTCCTCTTTGAACCTGTTGCGCAATAAACTTTGGTCTACAGTTGGTGGCTTTATTCTACAGGGACCTGTGGGCTCAGCCCGACGAGCTGGGTGACTGAGCAGCCTCACACCTAGATTTTTCCATAACAGACTGAGTCCCCTCAGTCCACGATCAGTCAGAGATGAATGGGTGGAGGCAGGTTGCAGTGAAAGCAAGGCAAATTTTATTTTTCTGTTGCAACAGAGTTCCCTCCCCTCCGTGCAAGGAGGCAAGAGAGATCCGGAACCCAGAAGAAACATCTCTTTTAAGGGTTTTGCATTTTGGAAGTGGAGTAGAAGCACAGCCCCTCTACAAACAGTCAAAAATTACATCACACAGAAGGTGGGGTTACTGTGACTCAGGCAAGCCAAGGCGTGATATTCCTGAGGATTTAGCAAGTTTTACATTGTTCCAAACACAGTTTACACAAAACATTGACATTTGATAAGACAATCGGGATGCCCGTCAGACATCCCTCAATGCAGAGCATCTGGGCAAACAATGACAATTAATACCAAGGAGGTTCATAGATATAGGAGAGAATTTCCTTCAGGGACTTCCCCTGATTGCTCTCTGCCTACCTGCTCTCAGGCCAGGGGGATTAAGGAGGAAGAGGAAATACTGAGCGCCAAGATGGTTTTCGGATTGCTCTCCTATACTATTTTAGACATGTGGTTTATATACTTATGTATGTGTGTTTACCTTGTGCAATTATCAACATTTACTCTGCATTTAAGGCCTTAGAATTCCTATAACAATGTATAACCCCCTTGCCAGGTACCATCGCTGAGTACAAACCATCATGAATCCACAATATATGGCTCCACTTATTCAATGGATTGACGACTTGCCACTTAAGAGCAGGTCGCTTACAGACATAGACCAGGGTTTCCCAAGCTTGGGTGTCCAGCTGTTTCCGGACTACAACTCCCATCATCCCTAGCTAGCAGGACCAGTGGTCAGGGATGATGGGAATTGTAGTCCAGCAACAGCCGAAGACCCTGACATAGACTTTGCATGGACAAATAAAACAAAATTTGAAACTCGTTGCAGTAGGTTAAGAAATTGCTAACAATTGTTGCAGGAATATGCTATTTTATTTTTCTTCTTTCATTTCTTTTGCTTAAAAAATGCGGAACCATTCATGTGAAGAAAAAAATTGAATGCAGGCTGAACAGGGTGCCTGGAGAGGGCCAATGCTTGCCTGGTGTTGCAGGGTCAAAATGTAGCCAAAAGGAATCATTAAACTTTCTTTGCAGAACACAATAGCTGAGCCCAGAGATAGCAGCTTACTTCAAGGGCATTCCAGACTGGCCCTTCCACTCTGCGTGGACCAGACACTTTTTATTTGGGGGGCCACAAGTTGCACCAGTTGTGCTTGCAGCAGAAGACAGACTTGGGTGCGCTGCTTGAATTATTGCTTTCGGTGGGACATGCCTGGCCACACTTCTTGGTGATGAGAACCTTGGCACTGTCACCTTGAGGCAGGAAGGAAAGGAAAAAGAAAACTCATGTGAAGCCCTTACCCAATACAGAATCCAAGCCTAATTACAGATACCGACATATTCATTCTCTGCTGTCTCCACAACTGCCAGAACTTAGCTTGTAAGCTCCTTGCAGCAGGGACTTAGGTGTTTTGGTTGTGGTTCATTTGAGTTTTTGACTGCCTATGTTAGTCTGTAAAAGTGCATTGATGATACTAGATAAATAATTGCCGTTGTAATGAAGATTTGTCCCGAGGGCAGCATGAATGGGGTGGTGGTGGCCAGGGCCGGATTTAGGTTTGATGAGGCCCTAAGCTACTGAAGGTGATGGGGCCCTTTATATGTCCAGCTGTCCTTTGTCAACAACAAATGGTCACTGTTTTTTGTGTTGAATATATGCCAGCTGGTAATTTATGGATCTAATAAGTACCTAAAGCCATTTGCATGTAACAAAGTATGTATTTTATCATTATAATTGTTGAACTGAAATACAATTAAGAAATATATTAATAATAATAATAATAAAAAGGTAAAGGACCCCTGACAGTTAAGTCCAGTTGTGAACGACTCTGGGGTTGCGGCGCTCATCTCACTTTACTGGCCAAGGGAGCCGGCGTTTGTCCGCAGTTTTTCCGGGTCATGTGGCCAGCATGACTAAGCCGCTTCTGGCGAACCAGAGCAGCCCACGGAAACGGCGTTTACCTTCCCGCCGGAGTGGTATCTATTCATCTACTTGCACTTTTGATGTGCTTTCGAGCTGCTAGGTTGGCAGGAGCTGGGACCAAGCAACGGGAGCTCACCCCGTCGCGGGGATTCGAACCACCGACCTTCCGATCGGCAAGCCCAAGAGTCTCATTGGTTTAGACCACAGCGCCACCCGCGTCTCTGTCTTCCCTCTACCCATCCCAGGATCTGTGCATGTGGAAATTGCACAGAATTTCCGTAGGGTTTTTGTTTGTTTGTTTGTTTGCTCAAGAGGGCAGGCCAGTCTTGAGATCTGTTCAAATGTGCAGCTAATCGCAGGACTCACCTGTTTCGTCAACATCCCTCATGGTTAGACATGCATTTTCATTGTCAGGGCAAATAGTCATTTGCAGGCACTTCCAATTCGTGGGCTGTCTTTCGCAAGTGAAACAAATAATCGAATCAGCTGCAAAGCGAAGGGAGAGAGGGAGATAAAACTTTGGGGGCAGGAAATTCCTGGAGAGCACAATCACTTTAAATTCTTGCTTTTAACTTTTTAAAAGCAACAACTGATAGCTTCAATGTTTTCTATTTTGGGGAAACTGATTTGAGGGTGTGTTTCCCCCTATTTTGGCTTAATAATAATAATAATAATAATAATAATAATAATAATAATAATAATAATTTTTATTTATATCCCGTCCTCCCCAGCTGAAGCTGGGCTCAGAGTGGCTAACAACAGTAAAATGATAAGGTAAAGGTACCCCTGCCCGTAAGGGGCCAGTCTTGACACTCTAAGGTTGTGTGCTCATCTCACTCTATAGGCCGGGAGCCAGCGCTGTCCGCAGACACTTCCGGGTCACGTGGCCAGCGTGACAAGCTGCATCTGGCGAGCCAGCACACGGAACGCCGTTTACCTTCCCGCTGGTAAGCGGTCCCTATTTATCTACTTGCACCCGAAGGTGCTTTCGAACTGCTAGGTTGGCAGGCGCTGGGACCGAACGACGGGAGTGCACCCCACCGCGGGGATTCGAACCGCTGACCTTTCGATCGGCAAGCCCTAGGCGCTGAGGCTTTAACCCACAGCGCCACCCGCGTCCCCCTAGTAAAATGATAAAACATTCTAAAATCATTTCATTCTAGAATTAATTCCAATCAGATGAATGGCAACCTCCACCTTAGCCATGACAAAGGGCTGGCCTTGCCGGGTGCAATTTTTTTATTTTTTAAAAAGCCAGCAGGGTGCTCCCCCCAGCCCTCCCAGCCTACCCCCCCGTCATAGCACAACCATCTTTTGAAACTCTATAGCAGTTTCGTATTATGTGGCGCCAGTAGGTGGCATCATCCTGCAAAACGATGTTCCAAAGTCCTCCCAGGCACACTGCAAAGGAATTGGATCGTGGTGAAAGCAGTTAGTCAAAACCAGGTCAGCACTTGTGATAGGTCAATGCAAGAAATTCTTGGCTGGGTAAACAGCAAACAGCAGCTCCTTCCGCCTTGGAGGTGTTGCCAATCAAAGGTTGGCTCATTCTTTTGGAGGCTCAGCCAGTCCTCCTCCAGTGAGGACAGTTTCCTCCACCCCGCACTTTCAGGAATAAGCAAAACAGACCCAGTTTGAAATGAATGCCAACACAATTTCCTTATGGATTTAGCATGCTCCGTTGCAAGTAAATCCCACTGAAACTAAGAATAGATTTGTGAATTTAGGTTTCTTTCAGTTCCGATTCTTTCCCAGCTTGGTGGCACCAATTTGCCTTTAAAAATGTCCTTGCAATATTTCCTCAGTGTTTAAGTGTGACCTTTCCCTAATGTTTTTGCATGAAATTTTGAATGTACATATTTTTGTGAGCAAGTTTCCACATATTGCATTTCTGCACGTTATTTCCCCTTAATGTATGCAACAGATTATTTGGTTGGAGAACGACATTGCAAAATTCAGAGAAGGGTGAATTTTGGAGGACAGCTGTGTTCTGGCCCACGTCTTGTTTTGGGAAGTGCAAATTAATAATAATAATAATTTATTATTTGTACTGCGCCCATCTGGCTGGGTTTCCCCAGCCACTCTGGGCAGCTTCCAACAAAGACCAAAAATACACTAAAATGTCACACATTAAAAACTTCCCTGAACAGGGCTGCCTTCAGATGTCTTCTCAATGTCAGGTAGTTGTTTATCTCTTTGACATCTGATGGGGGGGGTGTTCCACAGGGCAGGCGCCACTACTGAGAAGGCCCTCTGCCTGGTTCCCTGTAGCTTTGCTTCTTGCAATGAGGGAACCGCCAGAAAGCCCTCGGCACTGGACCTCAGCGTCCGGGCAGAACTATGGGGGTGGAGATTCTCCTTCAGATATACTGGGCCTTTGAGGCCATTTAGGGCTTTAAAGGTCAACACCAACACTTTGAATTGTGCTCGGAAACATACTGGGAGCCAATTTAGGACTTTCAAGACTGGTGTTATGTGGTCTCAGCAGCCGCTCCCAGTCACCAGTCTAGCTGCCGCATTCTGGATTAGTTGCAGTTTCCGAGTCACCTTCAAAGGTAGCCCCACGTAGAGCGCATTGCAGTAGTCCAAGCGGGAGATAACCAGAGCATGCACCACTCTGGCCAGACAGTCTGCAGTCAGGTAGGGTCTCAGCCTGCGTACCAGATGGAGCTGGTAAACAGCTGCCCTGAACACAGAATTGACCTGCACCTCCATGGACAGCTGTGAGTCCAAAATGACTCCCAGGCTGTGCACCTGGTCCTTCACAGTTACCCCATTCAGGAACTAGGCTCTCCTTAAAATGCAAAGCAAATCAACTCCCCCCCACCAATTTGGAATGGAAACCAGCAGCCTTAATTTCCCTGCAAAAACAGCCAGGGTCATTCTATTAAAGCAGGCAGGCTGTCTTCGGTTTCCCAAAGCACCGTTCTGCTCTCATGCTTCGGTCAGGGAGGAGGGCAAGAGAAGAACTTACCTATCTGTGTGCAGACGATCACCGCACCCAACAAGGAGAGAAGATAAGACGCCTTCTTCATTGTCGTTGCTCCAGCTGTCTCTGAATGATCAAGTTCTCCTTTGGAGAGGTTATTTATAAAGGGACAAAGGCTGCTCTAGAATCCCCAATTATCTGCAACAGGGTGTGAGCTGTTTGGAAGAAATTTTCCATTGTGGTCCAAAGGAAAACCCAGCTATACATTTGGCACCAGCTTGGCTTCAGGAGTTACGGGAAGGAGGCGTGCAAGATCCTATCCAACTTAGGGACTCCACGCTGGATTTTTGTAGGGTTTAATCCTTGACGCAATGGTTCCCAATGGTGCCCTTGACCAACCACATACTGTCTGCAACTCCCTTGTGGGAGCCACTCACAATGGGGATTCCATTTCAGGACATGTGTGGGTGAGAATTCTCCCGTTCCGTAACTGCTCTACCACTTCCCGGTTTTTGGCGTGTGTGTAAATAGGAGCGCATGTTCTGATGGGAAGCCAAGCAAGGCCACGGCTCTGTAGGGCCAAGTTGGTGCATCCCACCTGGCACCCCCAGCCTGCCTTTCCCGAAATTAGTTTGTGTGTGGAGGTGGAGAAGATTAAGCTCAGAGGCAGAGGTGTTTTGTTATTGCAGGGAAGGAGAGAAGCGCGCATTGCAACAAAAGAAAAACACCCTTTCCCGCCAGATAAATGCCAGTGGATGGAGTCCTTAGCATGTTTGCCTGGAAGTGAATTCCACTGAAACCAGTGAGGGTTACTTCCAGGTAAAAGAGGAGGTTAAGGGGTGATAGGATAGCCATGTTGAAATATATAAAAGGATGTCATATAGAGGAGGGAGAAAGGTTGTTTTCTGCTGCTCCAGAGAAGCGAACACGGAGCAATGGATCCAAACTACAAGAAAGAAGATTCCACCTAAACATTAGGAAGAACTTCCTGACAGTAAGAGCTGTTCGACAGTGGAATTTGCTGCCAAGGAGTGTGGTGGAGTCTCCTTCTTTGGAGGTCTTTAAGCAGAGGCTTGACAACCATATGTCAGGAGTGCTCTGATGGTGTTTCCTGCTTGGCAGGGGGTTGGACTCCATGGCCCTTGTGGTCTATTCCAACTCTATGATTCTATGATCCTATGATTCTAAATAAGGCTAGGGACAGGCTATTTAAGGCAGAACACCTCTGTTTGTCCAAAGTCCTTTATGTACTGCTTTTCATCAAAATAACAACAACAACAACAATTATAATAATTATTATAATTTATTTATACCCTGCCCATCTGGCTGAGTTTCCCCAGCCACTCTGGGTGGCTCCCAATCGAGTGTTAAAAACAATACAGCATTAAATATTAAAAACTTCCCTAAACAGGGCTGCCTTCAGCTGTCTTTTAAAGATAAAATAGCTGCTTATTTCCTTCACATCTGATGGGAGGGCGTTCCACAGGAGAAGGCCCTCTGTCTGGTTCCCTGTAACCTCACTTCTCGCAATGAGGGAACCACCAGAAGGCCCTCAGTGCTGGATCTCAGTGTCCGGGCTGAACGATGGGGGTGGAGACGCTCCTTCAGGTATACTGGAGCGAGGCCGTTTAGGGCTTTCAAGGTCAGCACCAACACTTTGAATTGTGCTTGGAAATGTACTGGGAGCCAATGCAGATCTCTCAGGACTGGTGTTATGTGGTCTCAGCAGCCGCTCCCAGTCACCAGTCTAGCTGCCGCATTCTGAATTAATTGCAGTTTCTGGGTCACCTTCAAAGGTAGCCCCACATAGAGCGCATTGCAGTAGTCCAAGCAGGAGATAACCAGAGCCTGCACCACTCTGGAGCGACAGTCTGCGGGCAGGGAGGGTCTCATCCTGCATACCAGATGGAGCTGGTAGACAGCCACCCTGGACACAGAATTGACCTGCGCCTCCATGGACAGCTGTGAGTCCAAAATGACTGTGTCCTTCAGGGGCACAGTTATCCCATTCAGGGTTAGCAAAAATGAAATAAATGCAATCAAACAATAAACAGCAGCAGCAGTGTAAAACAGTGAGAAAAGATTGTGAGGGTTGGTTTGGATGATGTCTGTGGATTTGGGGTCTGCAAAATGGGAGTCTGCAGTGGAAGGAATGGTTGAAGTAGCCAAGCCGGTCCCTCTGTTAATATAATGGACCTGGATGTGTCTGTTGAGCATCTCCTGACATGACTAAAGAGTTGGTTGCGTTGCCATAGAAACAACGAGCTGGTGATGCTTCCAGAAGAAGGAAGTAGGCCTTTATCCCTCACCTGTTGGAGGCCACTTTGTCCTAAAGGCAGGAAAACAATAGGGCAGGGGTCAGCAAACATTTTTAGCAGGGGGCCGGTCCACTGTCCCTCAGACCTTGTGGGGGCCCGGACTATATTTTGAAGAAAAAATATGAAGGAATTCCTATGCCCCACAAATAACCTAGAGATGCATTTTAAATAAAAGGACACATTCTACTCATGTAAAAACACGCTGGTTCCCGGACCGTCTGCAGGCCGGATTTAGAAGGTGATTGGGCCGGATCTGGCCCCCAGGCCTTAGTTTGCCTACCCATGCAATAGGGCATTGCCAGTGAAGTGATTGTGCGGTTTTAATCTGCTTTTAATAATGTTTATTTGTTTTTGTCATAGTATTTTTTTGTACGTGTCTTTGGGACTTCCTTAATGGGAAGAGCTGCACAAATCCAACAAGCCAGAGGAAGTTTATGGCACTGGAAACCACAAGATAATAATGCCTTGTTTTAAAGAAGGTGAGAGACAATAAGTTGTTGTTGTTCTTACATGTGTTTCATATGTCTCTTCCCTCTGATGTGGAAAGCTTGCAGTCAGAGATATTTTGTTGACACCTGCACATTGCTACCTCCTTAATGGGGGCACACGAATCTCCAGTCTCAGAAATGCTTCATGGATGCTGCCTGAGTTGGAGGGCATGTCTAATCTGCGGAGAAATTTTCTGGGATTTTTGTGCCTTGGGCAAAACCACACGACTGCTGATGAATGTGAGAAAGGAGATAAAAGATTGGAGAGAGCGCCAGGACGAATGCGGCAGATCACTTTCTGAATTGGAAAATCACGGGCACTTCCAGTCACCCAAGACATTGGTGAAGTAACAGAGTAGGCTGACGTCAAGAGCCTTGTTGCACAACTTAGTCATTAACGAACCCTATGATTTAATTACTTCAAATGGGGAGCTGGAAAACAAGGTTGCTAGCATCTAATGGCTAGAATCGCTTCTGAGGCTATGTTGCAATTTGAACATGTGTTTAAGGTGGCGTGCGCAAAGGAGGAGAGTTTGAGCCAGCGCAGCAGAGAAGAAACAGTCCCAGAATTACAAAAGCCATCCCAGATGTGATCCCAGAACCTCTCTATTTTCCCCGCCAGTGCTTCTGCCACCAAGCTCAGGAAGGAGGGTGAGCAGGTGCTTGTCCCGATTGACAACGGCGGTGGCAACTGTGGCTGTGAGGGAGCATACCCTGGGCTCTCCATGGCCTCTCCATTGCTGCTGTTGCTGGCCTCCTCCCTTGGAGAGCTTGTGGAAGAGCAGGCAAGGGGGAAGAGAGGCTGCCATCGGTAGGGCCACCCTGGGCAGGAAGAAAGGGGAAGCAGCATTCACATCTAATCATCTACTGATTTCCCTATTTCATCTTATCTTTCCTACATACGACATAAATTTTTCCCATTCCTTTTTGTAATGTTTCCTCTCCCTGTTGCCTAATTTTTCCTGTTAATTTGGCTATTTCTGCATATTCCATTACCTTCTGTCTCCATACTTCTACTGTTGGTATTTGCTGTTGTTTAACCTCCTTTACAAGGGACGCGGGTGGCGCTGTGGGTAAAACCGCAGCGCCTAGGACTTGCCGATCGCATGGTCTGCGGTTCGAATCCCCGCGGGGGGGGTGAGCTCCCGTCGTTTGGTCCCAGCTCCTGCCCACCTAGCAGTTCGAAAGCACCCCTAAGTGCAAGTAGATAAATAGGGACCGCTTTATAGCGGGAAGGTAAACGGTGTTTCCGTGTGCGGCGCTGGTGCTGGCTCGCCAGTTGCAGCTTCGTCACGCTGGCCACGTGACCCGGAAGTGTCTGCGGACAGCGCTGGCTCCCGGCCTCTAGAGTGAGATGAGCGCACAACCCTAGAGTCTGTCAAGACTGGCCCGTACGGGTAGGGGTACCTTTACCTTTACCTTTAACCTCCTCATCTTTAGTATGCCAATTTCACGTCTAATCTTACTCCTTTCTAGAATTTATATATTGGCGTGTGATCTTCTCTTTGTAAATCTACCAAAGAATAAAACATTTCCACCTGAGCAATGTTGGAGGGTATGCAGCTGTGGTGATGCTCAGAGGCTGGGTCTGTAGCCCTAGCACCTGAGGCAGTTGCTTCACATTGGGTGGGCCAAGGATTGCAAAGGTGTCTGCTTTTCAAAACTGCAGAACAAAACACACCTGTCTTCCGGATTAAACTCTTCCTTATTTGCAGGCAATCATGGATCCCAGGCGCCTGTTCTGAGCCACACCTGGCGACGGAGGGAACACAGAAAGAGAGCCCTGTGTCATGACGAATCCACACTCCAAGTCCCTGACAACATTCCCTCTGGCCAGGTTGATGCTGCCAAACCTGGAAGGAGAGAGAGACGATGGATTCACATGCTCTTTCCTCCTGCGCACACTCTCGGCATCAGCACGATTTTTGCATTCCCCTGGGTGTGCTTCATCTTCTTCTTTGGCGATCCCTCGTAGCCAAGTAAGATCGTCTTCCATAGACACGGTTTTAACAGTGAGTCTGTAAGTGACTGTAGAGGCCAATTCTGGATCCACACATCCGTCCACAGTGGGGACATAGGTTTCCAGGTGGGAGTTGATCACGGTGAGGGTTTGCCAAGTGTACCTTCCTCTTAGCACATTTCTCCCTTTCGTCCTGAGTTCGAGTGTCTTCAAAGCCCATGACACTTTTGGTAAAGGCTGTTCTCCAATTGGAGCACTCGCAGGCCAGTGTTTGCCCAGTTGTGGGTGTTTATACTACAGTGGTACCTCGGGTTAAGTACTTAATTCATTTCGGAGGTCCGTTCTTAACCTG